TATTTTAAGCACAGGAAAATGCAAAACATCCTGGAATATATTATTCACGATTATTGCCAAGGGAAAGAAATCTGTCTCCTATTTGAAGAACTGCCTGGCGATAGATTGTGGCAATCAAACAGAACTTTGCAATTTGCAACGGGCTCCACTTCATTTGATCCCACGGGTTTGTGAGGTAAGTCGGTGTCTCCTGTTCTTAGCTAAGGAACCTGAGACTTGGGCAGGAGAAATCACATGAGGTGCAATAGCTAGTACGTGGTGGGGCTGGTACTCAGGTCTTGTTTCTTGCCTTTGCCCACTGCCCTCCTCCAGGCCTCATCAGGAGGTGGGTGGTGACTCTGATAAATTCTTAGTGCATCTTAGAGAGATGGCTCCAGAAACTCCAGTATTTCCAGATGAGCATTCATCCTGGGAGAGAAAGACTGAAGGTAAATGAGCTAAGCTTTCAATTCCAGACCTTGGAATAAAGAACAATTCAAAAAGTGGTAGAGTTTGAATAGACAGTGATTGAGACATTTTATTTTTATTTTATTTTTTTAAAAAGATTTATTTATTTATTTTAGAGAAAGAGAAAGCATGAGCAGGAGGGGCAGAGGGAGAGAGAGAATCCCAAGCAGACTCCCTGCTGAGTGTGGAGCCCGACGTTGGAGCTTGATCTCACGACTTTGAGATCATGACCTGGGTGAAACTAAGAGTCAGAACGCTTAACCAACTGCATCACCCAGGCGCCCCAAGACGTTTTATAAATTAAATGGAAAGGATGCTTACCTGTGAACTACAGGCTGGTCAAGTGTAGGCATCTTTGTGCCTGAGTCTTTGGGTCTCCTAGAATATTGAAGCAGCAAGAGCTAAGAGAAAGGGTTCAGGCATCAGACCTACAAAACCCTGGGCTCAAGCCCCAGCCTCACTACTTCTGGCTGGCTAGCTTTGAGTAAATGACTCTCTGAGCCTACCTTTCCTTATCTGTAAATGAAATTGTCGTCATAATCATGTCTCAGTGCGATGAATCTATCATCCCATTCAGTTCTCCCTAGACTCCGAGAAGTAGTTATTTTGTTTGATTACTGTTTTCCATTCCTTTTTCCTAGATAAGGAAATGGGTCAGAGAGATTAAAAGCCAGAGCAAGAGATTGCCAAGAAGATGAACTGCAGCCCACTCACCCACTATCCCATGTGCCCGCTTCCATCTACAGAACCCGCATGGGAAGACCCATCCCAGCAGGGTTCATGTGAAGGTTAGATAAGAAAATATATTTGAAGTGTCAAGATGATATTAAATAGAACCCTTCTCATTTTTTTAAAACAAATGTTTGTGAGTAAATATCTCCAGGTATCTGTATTTCTTTAAATCATGTTTGAATTATAAGCCCTTTGTTTAATGATAATGATTAGTCAATCAAGTTCATGTTTCTACTCAGCTTTTTTTTTTTTTTTTTTTTTATCCCATGCCTGGGGAAAGCTCACCATCAGGACCTGAGGCCCAGCCCAGCACTGCCCTCCACCTGGAGGCAGTAGAGTGCACCTGCTGGGAAAGGCCGGAAGAAGCAGCTAAGAGCCTTTGAAGTCCTGCTCTTGCAGAAACAAACCTATATAAATGATAGTGTACGTCATAAACACGGGAATGAATTGCCTTAAAAGTGGTGTCTGCTCTGCCTCACTTTAGTGGGTTTTTTTTTTTTTTTATAGCAGTGTTTTCCTTTTTCTTTTCTTCTTTTTTTGAAAGTTTTAATTTTAATTCCAGTTAGTTAACATACAAGGTTATATTAGTTTCGGGTGTATAATAGAGTGATTCAACACTTCCATACATCAACCTCACGTTAATGTTTAATGGGGAGTTACAGATACTAATCAAGGGGAAAAAAAAGCTGGGAAGAAAATATTGTTCAAGAATTGTTGATGGGTCTAGAAAGGCTCCAATTCTTTTTAACATAAATGTTTTCCTCAGACTTTCTTACCCTCCCTAATGATGAGTCTAGCATCCATGGACTAGAGAACATTCCAGAGGAGAGAGGATGTCAGGGCCTCAAAGAGGGCGGAACCACAAGATGGACAAGACCAAGACTCAGCCCTGATTCTGAACCTTTGCTCCAACTTATCAGCTGTGTAATCTTCAGCCAATGCCTGTACATTCTTGCAACCCTGTGGCAGAGGTTGCCTGTGGTTCCTCAAATCATTTCCTTTTGTCTGGGCACAGAGGAGAAACAAGCAGTGGTCCCGGGATGGATTCTGGCCAATGGTATGTACATAGTACATCCAAAGCTGTGTTAAAATTCTTCTGTTTTGCCACCTGGAATTTCTCCCCCAAATAATTATTTTTTCCAATAACAAAAATATGACATACTTACTGTGGAAAATTTGAAAAGAAAATTTAGAATGAAAATACCTGCCCACTAAAATGACCACTATTAATATCATGGAACATTTCCTAAGTATATTTTTACCAGAGTTGAGAACATAATGCCTGTACGATTCTGTATTCAGTGTATTTTTTGCTTGCCATTAACACAAGCATTTCCCTATATCACCAAACATTATTTATTATACATTACTTTCTGGAGTTCCATAATATTCCATTGTAAGGACGTACCATAATTTTCCTAACCAATTCCTTATTGTCGGATAGTTAGATCAGTTTCCAGTTTTTCAGGGTTATACAACATGTTGCAATGGCCGTATCTGTAAACTTCATATTGCTTCCTTTGCAGTCTGAATTCTTTAAGGTGATTGAGGTTTTAGACTTGGGTAAAACATGGGAAACCATTACATGTGTTAGAAACAACCTGATTTCTGGAATGTAACAGCACTGGGAGGTCAACTGTGGGAACTGGGCTGTAAGAGTTCCTGGGGAGGGTAGTCCAGATTCTTGAAAGAGATTGGAGGAAATGCTTTTCTGAACCAGCTCTAGGGAGAGGTGCTCAGCTGTCTGAGCATGAGGGACAATGGAGGAACCTCCCTCCAGGTTTCTTTGAGGGTCAGACAAGCCCTTTTTCTTGGGAGACTCTAGGTTCATATTTCATGAGCCTGTGGCTACGCTGCCGCACCGTACTTCTTGAGTGTTATTCCTTTTTGCTTATTTATTTTTTTGATCTACACCTAAGTTGTTGTATTTTTAATTGAGCTGTAATTAACATGCTGTAACATTCACTCTTCTAAAGTGCATAATTCAGTGGTTTTAATACAATCACAGGGCTGTGCAACCATCACCATTATCTCGCTCCAGAACATTTTCATCACCCCAAAAAGAAATGCATACTCATCAACAGTCCTTCTCTCACTGTACAAACCCTTAGCTCCTAGCAACACTAATTTATTTTCCTGTCTCTATGGATTTGCCTATTCTAATTTCGTAGAAGTGGATTCTATAATATATGGCCTTTTATGTCTGGCTTCTTTCACTTAGCATAGTGTTGTCAAGGATCATCCATGTTGTAGCATGTATCAATACTTCAATTTTAAGGCTAAATAATATTCCACTGTATGGATATATCACTTTTGTTTATCCACTCAACAGGTGATAGACATGTGGGTTGTTTCCATTTTTTGACTATTATGAATAATGCTGCTATGAACATTTAATTCTTTTTTTTTTTTTAAGAGAGTGTATGGGAGCCGGGGGACAGGGGCAGCAGGGAGAAGGAGAGAGAATCTTAAGCAGGCTCCATGCCCAACACGGAGTCCCACGCAGGGCTCAATCTCACAACCCTGAGATTATGATCTGAGCTGAAATCAAGAGTCAGATGCTTAACTGACTGAGCTCAATCAAGGTGCCCCATGAACATTTAATTCTAACTTAAACTGTGTACAAGTTATTGTGTGGATACTTAGTTCCAGTTCTTTTGGGTGTATACCTAGGACTGGAACTCCTGTTTAACTCCATGTTTAACTCATTAAACAACTGCCAAACTGTTTTCCAGAAGCAAAACACATTCATGTCCTCCAGCAATGTATAAGTGTTCTGATGTCTCCACATTTTCCTTAACACTTGCTATTTGTCCATCTTTTTTATTATAGGCCATGCTGGTAGGTGTGAAGGGAGATCTCATTCAGGCTTGGTTTGCATTTTTTTTAACGATTAGTGATGATAAACATCTCTTCACATTCTTATTGGGTATTTGTACATCTTTTTAAAATAAATATGTATGCAAATCCTTTGCCCATTTTAAAATTTGGTTATTTATCTTTTTGTTGTAGAGTTGTAAGAGTTTTTTTTATATTCTGGATAATATATAAGATTTGAAAATATATATTTTTTTCATTTTGTAGGTTGTCTTTTCACTCTCTTGGTGATGTCCTTTAAAACACAAATGTTTTTATTTTTGATGAAGTTTGATTTATCTATTGTTTCTTTTGTTGTGCTTTCAGTGTCATGTCTAACTCAAGGTCACAAAGATTTACTCCTGTTTTCTTCTAAGAGTTTCATAGTTTTAGCACTTGTATTTAAGTCTCTGATTCATATTGAGTTACTTTTTATATGGCGTGAGGTACAGATCCAACTTTCTCTTTCTTTCTTTCTTTTTTTCATGTAGACATGCAGTTAACCCAACAACATTGGTTGAAAAAACTATTCTTTTCCCCGTCAATTGTCTTGGCACCCTTGTTGAAAATCAATTATCTATAAATATATGAGTTTATTTTTAGACTTTCAATATAGGTCTATCCTTATACCAGTACCACACTGTCTTATGATTAGTGTAGGTTTGTCATAGGTTTTGAAATTGGGAAACCTGTGTCTTCCAACTTTGATTTTTTTCAAAATTGTTTTGGCTACTTTTGGTCCCTTGCATTTCTATATGAATTTAGGATCAGTTTGTCAATTTATGTAAAAAAGGCAGCTAAGATTTTGACAGGGATTGTGTTGAATCTGTAGGCCAATCTAGGGAGTATTGCCATCTTAACGTTATTTAGTCTTCTCCAGTGTTATTCTTAAAAAACAAAACAACCCACAAACCTCAACAGTTACTTAACTCACATAACCACAATTATTGTTTTTTTTCATTCTTAAATCATTTTACTGTTTATACCATAATCACATTAAAATTGGCAGAACTCCCCTGACAGACAGGACAGAGACCTGTCATGAAAGGAAAAATAGTGAAGGTTTCATAAAGCTTGAGAGAAGTACCAGGGTTCCACAGGATAGCCACAGAGATCTCAGGAAACACAGTGCCATGGTGTCGGAGTAGGTAGGAACACAGGCTGCTACAGCAACAGAGGCCTGAGGCCACTGCTATTTCCTAAGGGGGATTTCCTAATATGCTTGGTAAGCAGATCACTCAAACAGATATACATGGAGTAGCGTATTGCTTCTCCTGAATAAATTCTACAGGTTCCTGGGCAGGATCTACAAATCTCATGTGATAAATGGTTGCTGAATTAGGATTTTGCAAAGGTAGTCCCATAACCAACATCCAGGGAAATTTTGCCACCAGTGAAATTCTGAGGCCAAAAAATAAATAGCCACACATAGCAAACCTACACACCATGAATTAAAATGGTGCCAAGTTAGGGCTTATGAGAGAACCAGAGCAGGAAAGATTATCCAAACAGAAGATCTTCATCCTTCTCTTCAGCCGAAAGATTAGCAGGCTCCATCACCTCACCAGCTGCCCTCTGTTGCTCCAAGTCCTTCTCCGATTTTTCCTTGAGAATCTTTTTCTTCTGTATTTTCTTTAATCTATAGAACTCTTCTTGCTTTCTCTCATCCAGCTCTGTGAAGGGTATGTTCAATCCGGGGAATGATGACGTGTTCAATGGCATTGACACACCTGTTGGTTATCTTAATAGCTTCATCCAAAGTAACAAAGGAAGCTTGAAGTGAAGCTAGTTCTACCAGTAACACCAGTGCTTTGGCATAGTTCCTCTTTAATTTCGCCAACTGCTCCCCACCTCTGGCGAAACCACAATTATTGTTTTTCTGCAGTGTGGATAGCTCCTATTCCTCCAACTACCTTTTAAAATGGAATGCTTTGCCTTGTAAATGAATTGTTTTCTTTTACCAGATAAGCTCAGCTATGTATATTTCTGTATCAGACCGTAATGATTCTTTTTGGTGAACTATTGGAAGTAAATACTATATGAATTTCACTAAAAGGTAGAAATGCCAAGGCAAAAAACAGATATTCAAATGATTGGCCAATTTGCCACAAAAGAATAGGTGGGTGTGTGATGAAAAGGAAAGGTTGGGGGTTTGCATACTACGACGCTCTCCCAGAGTATTAGCAAGAGCAATTTTGAATACCACCTGCTCTCCGTTCCTCTCCTTTGCACATCATTCTTTGCTGTGCAGTTTTTAAACAGTACTTAATTTCCCTGAAAGTGGGGTGATCCAGGTATTCAGGTGATTTCATGGGCTTGTGTCTATAATGTAGATCACATTTACTTTTTTTTTTTTACGATTTTATTTTTAAGTAATTGCTGTAACCAACATGGGGCTCAAACCTACAACCCCGAGCCCAAGAGTTGCACGCTCCTCTGATGGAGCCAGCCAGGTGCCCCGAAGTCACACTTACTTTTAATGACAAATTATAGTTGCCTGAGCACCCCCAGGTCTGGCTGCCAGAAACTAACCCCTCCACAGTGTCTGGGACTTGTTGCTATGAGTCCCTAGAGGTTGCCTCACATGTGCAGAAACAGTCTGTCAGCTGCAGCTACCTACTCATTGTATCTGCCCCCTATTGCCTCTTCTGCACTTGGCCTCCACCCCCACCCCGCCTTGTGTCTGCTAGGCCTCCAGGAGACACTCATGATTGCATTGTCAAAACCGTGCAAGAGTGCTATTTGAAGATTCATTTAAATCTCCCCAGAGGGGCAGAGATTGGGCACCAGAGCATGCCATTTCTGTATAGACAAAGAGAACGGTCTTCGCTACCCTAAATGTAACAATCAATTCTGCCCAGTCCTGAGTCTCTCTGAGTCACTCTTGAAAAATCCGAAAAACCTCGGGCCCTTTTATCCCTAACTGTACTGCAACCGCATTGAGGCACCTACAGGGGGAAAAGGCAGCATCTCATCTACATCATTTTCTTGTTCTTACTTCTACGTCACCCCAGCCTTCTCCTTCCTCCTGGTGGCCAAATGGAAGCTGAATGAGTGGAAGAAAAAGAGCGCTGGGGACCACCTTACTAACTCAGTGAGGTGTCTGCTCACTGGGACAAACGTGACTTCCTGTTGGTTGAAAATGGTACCTACCCCCAAGAAGTCTTATGAGGATTAACTGAAGTAATGTAAAGTAATGTAAAAATACATGAAAATAATGCAAAATAAAATAGTGCAAAAAAAAAAAAAAAAGACCCTGGCACAAAGAAGACATTTTCTCCCGGGTTTTAATTTTTTTTTTTTTTTTAGAGAGGTGGGGGAGGAGTAGAGGGAGAGGGAGAATCTCATGCAGATTCCCTGCTGAGCGCAGATCCTGACTCAAAGCTCGATCTCAGGACCCTGAGGTCATGACCTGAGCTGAAATCAAGAGTCAGACGTCTAACAGACTGACCCACCCAGGCGCCCCTCTCCTGGGTTTTAAAATATCAAAAGTGACAAGATTCCTTTTCTGGTTAAAGGCACCTTTTCCAAATATTTCTCACTGCCCCTAGGGAAATTTCCCCAGGGCCTGTGAGTCCAGAAAAGACTGCTGAGGTAGCCCCCCTCCTTCCTACGGCCTTACATGGCTCCATCCAGTCTAGAGCACAGATCAAACTTAAGAGTTAGAATTTCTTCCTTCTCTGCTCACTTGCCAGGCACTTGGGGATGATGGACTGCCTGTCTGTGGGTTTGGCCAGCTGGTGCCAGAACATGGGGGCATGGTGCCTCTTCTGAGCTTTTTGCCCAGGGCAGGAAGGGACGGAGGGTGTCCCAGCCCAGCCTCCTGCCCACCGGGCCAGGGCATTTCAGTACAGTCACTGCCCTTGGCTTTGACAAAAATAGAAGCTTGTTTCATCTACCCTGTGCAAGGTCTTTTCCGTGACTCCTCCTCCCCAGAGATCCCCACTGGCTATCAGGAAGCTGGTCCTCCTTCCCTACCCCATGGGCCCTGCCCCTGCCCTTTCCAGAACCGCTTCTGAGGCAAGCACTGGTCAGCTACTGTATTTCCTTTCCTTTTGCCCCAATTTCAGCACAGGTGCTGCATCCAGGCACCCTGACAAAGTTGTCCCTTCTCCAATCTGGCCAGACGAGGCCCTGCATAATTGTGCTCTGCTGTCCACCTGCTCCCCCACGGCTGTCCCCGACCCCACAGCAGGTGCGGCCCTTTGCAAAACCTCCCAGGCCGAGTGAGGAATCAGAAATGCCAAACTGGGTTACATAAGTGGGTTAGGCAGGTGGCGGGTGAGGTACATTCTATAAGGAAGTTGTGAGTCAGGAGCCTGGCAACGTGAATTCTCAGTTCTCAGCTTGGTTTCATTTCAACAAGCAGTTACTGAATGTCTGGTGTGTTCGCAGAAGTGTGAGAGATGATTCTAGATGTTGGAATACAGAAGTAGAAGGAGGGCTCTGTGAACCAGGCCCTGAGGACACAAATACCACAAGACACAGGCTCTAACTCAGATAGTCCCCTGTCTACGGGGGAGTCAGACACAGGAAGCAACATAACACTATATTGTGACCAGATGATAGTGACAGTGCATGCAAGGTACAGAAGGAAAAGGGAGTAATTCTTTCTGGAGAGTCTTCAGGGAGGCAGAGGTGATGCTTAAGCTGGGTTTTGAAAAATGAATACAAGTTGGCCAGGTGGATAAGAGCATAGGAGACCACCTTGTTAGAAGAAACAGGGTCTCTGAACTCCCAGAGGGTGAACTAGAGGGGAATGTGGACCAGGAAGGAACCCGAGGGGGACTTGGTGCCCCCTGCAATCTCTACTAGGACTCTTCAAGGCCATCTGTAATAAGCAACCTGAGCGAAAATGGTGAGCTTGCTCTGTGGACTCCACTTCAAGACAAGTCCGTACCCTCCCCTTTCAATTCTGTATATTAACTTGAGTTGCCCCTGGGGGATGTAGGGCCTCGGGGACAGAGAAAGTGACAAGTAGTTCCAGACGACTGGGACAGAAACAAGAATAGATCAGACCATAGAAGGTATTGGATGGCATGTGAAAGGGCTTACATCTCATCCTGAGGGCTGGAGCTTGAAAACTAGTGGCCATGAGATGGATTTATTTATTTATTTTTTTAATCTTAAGGACTTGTTTTGTTTTACTCTTACAAAGTTTTACAAGTCAGTACCTTCCTGGCAGCTCTTGGAAGAATCAGATCTGACATCACTGGATTCATGGTCCTGTAATGAGCTGGCCTGGGTCATAGCTGCCTCCTCTAAACCAGGTCGGGGCTTTCTATTGGCCCCAATCCCTGCCATTTCTTCAGGCTTCCAGGCAACCTTCTGGGCTCTGTGGGCAACTGGGAGCCACTAGTTTTAAGTAGGAGAATCCAATGGTAGGATTTGGATTGCTAAAATTGGTGGGTGACTGGATTTGAGAGGAGGGCATTGGAAGCCGGGAGACCTGTCAGTCAGCATTAGGGAGGAGGGGACAGATTTGAGTATCATTGGAAATGTGCCCCTCATGGACCCAGGTGCAGGTGTATACACACACTCTCTAAATATGCCAAAATAGCTCCTGCTTCCTCAATACTTTTGAGTTCTTGGATTTCTTACGATTTCTTTACCCTCTCTAGATTTATGACCAATTTAAAGATGATTTCTTTTGACAGAGGAGGGAAGTATAAATATTTTTTTTTCTAGGGCTCGCTGTTCCTCTCTGTCCCCTTCTCTCCCCTCAAATATGGAGCTGGGTTGTGGCTGAAAGAGAACATCAAATCCTGGATCATTGATTTTCTGACTGCAGAGGACCCCTTGCCGGATGAAGCCTCATACTTTTCAAGTTTCTCCAGTGTTCATCCCCCAGAGAAACATGCCCTATTCATCCCATATCCAGCAAACACCCATTAATTAACTGGAAGGAGAAAAAAAAGAGAATAGTAGGGGAAGTATGGTGGGGCAGTAAAAGAGTAGGTACCCTCACTGACCCCAGGGCAGTATGTAATCCACAGCAAATCTCTTTCCAAATTATAACAATGGCTTGTAGAGGAAAGGAAGAAGAAAAACCCTAAATTCCAGTCCTACCTCCAACATCTGCTCCCTCGCCATTGTTGGGTGACCCTCCTAGAGTGGCTCTTGGTCTCCATTTCTGCAGCAGGATGGAAGAAAGATTGTGTAATGCCAGTCAAGTGCGAAGCAATTGAAAAGCAAGTGGTATTGTTCATCTGGAAATTGATCTAGCCAGCCTTTGTCTCAGCTGCTAGAGCTAATGTCATTCACAGGTGCCATGTTATTTACTGATTTAACCATCTCTTTCAGTGCCACTTCTCAGCATTTCACTTTTAAGTAAAATAATGTTCCTGTGTGTGTGTCTTGATTACACATGTCACTGGAGACAGAAATAAAGGTTTAAAATTTCCTGCTAGGTGTTTGCTCTTCCTGGCTTGGATCAGGCATGGCTACTGGCTATCGGGTTGCATGCACCAGCTGTGGTGTGGTGAGTGGGGGTCAGAGACTAGAACAGAGGCTCCCTCATTCATTCAACAAACATTCCGTCTTAGGGCGGGTTCTCAGGAAGCAGATCCCGAGTCAAGGACTTGAGAGCGAGTCCTTTACTGGAGAACCAAAGAAAATGCCAGTTGTGAGGTGAGGAAGGAAGACAGCCAATCAAGAGTGGATTGTTGGGTCAGCTGGGAAACTGCAATCTGGTGTAGAGCACATGCCTCAGAGTTATCCTACCCAAGGGTTGAGGGAACTGGGATATTTGGACACCAACTCCCACTAATCATTGATTGAGGACTGCTCCCAGGGAGCATGAATTCCCTGGAACTTCGGCCCTGCTACTGGAGTAGGCAAAGCAGGCTTTGGTGGCCAGAGAAAGTGCTCAGCCAAAGGAGTGCAAATACTGGCAGCTGGAATTGGGACCAGCCTGGGCTAAAATGATAAGGACAAGAGACTGTGGGTGGGGCAATGACAGCATCTGCTGCATATTCTTTGAGGACTTCCTGTGTGTCAAGCACAATCATATAATGGCCACTGAGATGGATTTTGTTTCTGTCTTCACAGAGTGTACAGTTTAGTGGAGGAGACAAACAAGTAACCAGGCAGTACCCAAAAGATGGGGCATTTTGTGATGGTAAAAAAGAGAAGCGTGTCAGGGAAGGCCTCCTGGAGAAGGTGTCATCTAAGCTAGACCAGGATTAGGACTAGAAATAGACTCATTTGGGAAGATTAGCATGTGCAAAGGTCCTGAGGAGAGTGAGTTTGTGGCAAACTTTGAGAAACCACAGAAATTTGGTATGGACAGAGTTCAAGGTGAAGATTCTGGAGGAGAAGCAGATGATGGAGAACTTGGAAAACTGTTTGGACAGTTCCTAGAGCCAGTTTCTTTCTAAGACCAAATCTACTTCCAATGACTATTTCAAGTCCTCAAGTGGTTGTAGCTAGAATCTTCCTCTCTATTTTAATCTTGCATGCAACCATTTATTTTATGCATATTCTAACAGAACAGAATCTTTTAAACACTTTAAATAGAAAACCTAACAAAGGTTTGTTTGATCTTGTTACAGATTAAATTAACATATAATTGGCAAATTATTCCTATTCTTAGTTTCAATGCCTGGTTCAAGTAGTATTTATAAAGAGCTCCTGCCCTTAAGAGACTCAAAATATGTAATAGAGTGTGGCATATTGTATTTCTGAAAGATGGTTACAATGATACCTCCTAACCCACACTCTATAATATGATTTGATATTCCTCCCTTTGAGTGGTGGGCCCTCTGTTTCTTCCTCTTGAATTTGGTTGGGCTTGTGACTACTTTGGCAGTGATACTATGTGACTTTTGAGGCTAGTTCATAAAAAGTAAGCCCCACCTTGGTTTTCTAGGGATACTTGTCTTTGGAGCCCTGAGCCCCCATGCAAGAGGCTGGAGGCCGCCATGCTGTGAGGTCACAGGAAGAAGTTGTGTTTGGTAGTTCTGGCCCATAGTCCCAGTTGCAGTTCCAGGTGCAGTTCAACTGCCAGATATATTAGTGAAGACACCTCTAGATGACTCCTGCCCCCAGGCGTTGAGTCAGTCCTACGCTTTGAACTCTCCTAGAAAGAAAAGCTTCATGTCTTTTGCTTAGAGGATATCAGAATATCCTCAGTATGATATGAGGCAGTGGGACAACTTTTCCTCTACTTCAAAGGGGGAACCCAGGGCAGGATGTGGGCACAGGGAGGAAGCCTCACCGTGGAATGCAAATAGAAGACAGAGGGGAGCCAGGGAGAAACCAGGCCACTGGTGACATCATTTGATTTGCTACATAAACCTTTGCTGGAAACTAGTCCTAGCTCTAGACTAGGAGTCCTTCATTATGCGAACTTGTTTTAATTGGATTTTCTGTGGCTTGCAACAAAAAGAGTCCTAGCTGATAGTGAGGGATAGGATTTGTTACCTGTGAAGGCGGTGAAGCATTTCAGGCAAAGGGAAAGGGAAACATCTTCCAAGTGTGTTTCATGGTGTGGCAGCACCTGTTGTATAAGAGGGGAGAAAAGTTCTCAAGCCAAAATCATGCGTTGGCTGTAATGTTTCCCAAAGTTACTTTTTTTCCTTTAGTTGGTGGATAATACGTATAAGCCTACTGTAAGACAGGCACTGTGCTGTGTGTTGGAGATAAGACATCAAATAAGAGAGTGGTGGTCCCTGCCTTTGTGGAAGTTGCATTCCAGCTGGAAATACAGACATTAGGATAGTTAAAAATAGAATGGTCAGGTTGCAGGAGGAATGGAAGATGCTCTAGAAGCTATAATAGAACCTCACCTAGGTTGAGAGAAGGGGTGAAGACAGGCTTCCCTGAGAAAATGACATTTAAGCAGGGCCTAAAAGACGAGTGAAGATTTAGTTAGTTGAGGGTTGGGGGAATATTAGAGGTAGAAAGAATAGCACCTATTTGGCTATAGGACTTCTAAAGGCTTTGAACGTATAAATGTGCATTGTGAACCCCAAGAGGGGCTAAGGTATGCAGCATCCCCCAGGCTTGTTGACATGGGGCTGTGATTTATTTGAAGAGCATCTTGTAGGACTTAGAAAAAACAGGCAAGTCTTTGGGAATGAACAGAAGTGTTCTGGAAGCAGAGGGAACATGGTCCTGATTCAGATAAAGACCTATGTATGAGAATAGAGGGTGATGATAGATGGATGGATGGATAGATAGATAGATAGACAGATAGATAGATAGACAGATGATAGATATGAATGAAATGGTTGGATGGATGGATGGTGGATGGTGGATGGATGGATGGATGGATGGATGGATGGATAGATGGATGAATGAAAGGGTGGGTGGATGGTGGATGGATGGATGGTTGCATGGTGGATGCACAAAGAGAGAACCATTAGATAGGGTCCAGAGGGGTCAGCATAGACAGGACTTTGAATGTTAGGATACATAGTGTGTTGGTGTCTGAGTGTTGAGTCATAGCTGAGGTTGTATGTGAGAAGTCTGGGAGCAAGGAGGAGGGTTGTAGCAATCCAGGCATGAAACAATGAAATTCTAATGGGAAAGTTGGGGTGAGGGAGTGGAGAGAAAGGGATAAATTTAAGAGACACTGCAGTGGAGGAACAGGCAATTAACAATAGATATCAAGTGAAAAGAAGGGCAAGAGGAAGCAAAGTTTAGAGACTGGCTTTTGGGAGGAAGATCTTTAGAAAGAAGTGGAAAACTTCTTTCTCTCTAGCAATTAATAGTTCACTGTGCAATGGCAGAAAAAAATCTCAAGTCCCCAGGTTCCTAGGCATTTGCCAGATCATTGGCAGTGCTGGTAAACCCAGGAAAGCAGGGAAAGAAGACAAGAGTTATGGTAAATAGAAGCTGGGATATTTCCAGTGGGTTTTAATCATCTGTGTAATCTATTACCTTGGCCCCTGAGAGCTGCCTCTATTTTTGTTCACAATGGTCCGCATGAGTGACATCGTCTACCTCAAACCTGTGCAGCCCCATTTCAGTAAGAGGAGAGAGTGATAGAAATTTCCTTTCAGGTCAGGATGTTATAACAGATAAAAAAAGAGAAGATATTTAAGAGAAAAATAACCCAGCAGTACACCATTCATCAATTTCTCCCTCTCTCCCTCTTTCATCTTGCCTGACCTAATACCCTGAAACATCCATGATAAGAAATGTAGGCACAGATAGCTTTCTATGGAACACGATCCTCACAGAGCACAACCATGATTAATATAGCCCCACACACAGGTGGTGTTTTTATTCCCTAACTGCCACTCATTCCGCTGGGGAATCGGCGCCCTTCTTTCTGTCAGAGTCAGGATCAGCTGTGCGGGCTCCCTGGAGATCGCGGCCAGATGCACAGTGCTGCCTGTTGTGGACTCTGAAAGAGTCTTCCAGAAACCCATGACCCCAAATCCTTCTGCCATTCCCTAATATTTACATTTGAGGTCGAGTGCCACCCTTGACACAAACATTTCTTGTGGTCACCCTTTGACCTCCTCTATAAGGAGCTGTCGACGAATCACTGTCACCTGGAATCCTGACTCATGGCTCAGAAACATCCAGTGGGGTTTTGCTGGGGTTGGAATGAGCATTCACATTCCATGTGATTCAGGGAAAGTCTCCCGAGCGTCTCCTCTGCACCAGACGCAGTGCTCAATGCTGGGCTAGACTAGTGACAGGGACAGACATGGGACAATTAACACAGAAACAGCCTGTGACCAGGCCTACAGAGGCTGGGACTAGGGGCTGGAGACACAGGAAGGGGATTATGGCAGGTGTCAAGAGGAAGTGACACTTGACCTTGCAGAGTGTGTAGGATTTTGGTGGGTGGAGAAAGATATCCTGGAAGAGAGACCCGCATGACTCTCTGATCTTATTAGAGGCAAAAATAACGGGAGTAGCCCCAGTCTCTGACATCAGGGAGCAGAGGGAGCGGTGCGGCCTAAAGATGAGGCTTTGTAAATGTCATGCTCACTTCTTTATGAATAACAATACAATAACAGCGGAATTCTAAGGAGTGTACGTGCCAGGCACACTGCTCCATGCTGTACCTGAAATTTCTTTCAATTCTGGACAGCCTACGGAGGCAATGAACGGTATTACTTTCCTTTTATGGGCAAGGAAGCTTGGAGAGTTTCAGTAAGGTGTCGAGGTCACACAGCTGGCAGCCCTCACCCCAGCTCTGCCTGCCCCACAACCCAGGCCCCATCCCCTTTGGCTTGCAGGCTGGGAGGAGGGTTGTGTGCTAGAGTCTCCAAACCTGGGGGCTCCTGGGTGGCTCAGTCGGTTAAGTGTCCAGCTCTTGATTTTGGCTCAGGTCATGATCTCAGGGTTGGGAGACTGAGCCCCACATGGGGCTCCACGCTCAGCAGGGAGTCTGCTGGAGATTCTCTCTCTCCCTCTCCCTGTGCCCCTCCCCCCACCTCTCTCTCTAAAACAAAAAATAAATAAATCTTAAAAAAAAAAAAAAGAGTCTCCAAACACAGATTCTCTGACTCCATTCCCAGAAATGTGATTCAGTGGGTCTCAGGGAAAGGCCAATGCTCTGTACTTTTAGAGACTTCCCAGGATGATTCTGATGGGAAACAATACAGTACCTGTGAACCTTGCAGGGCGGCTTCTGTCCAAACCAATCTCTGGAGCTTTGCTGCCTTTTCAGTTCCCATCTCAGTGGGAAGGATGATTGACACAACTTAAAAGTCGGTCTTCTATACCTCGCCCTGCTGCCACCAGCTGTCTGATTTTGGACGAGTCACATGGCCTTTGGGGTTTTCATTCTTTGTATGTCAGAGTGGGGGGTGGACAAGATGACTCCTGATATTACCTCAGGCTTCATCATTCAACGATTCTGCTGAGCAACGACAGAGCCCCTGCTATTAGGATATGACAAATTCAGTAATTGGAGCTCAGAAACTGTATTAGTTTTCTAGGGTTGCTATAATAAAATATCATAGACCAAGTGGCTTGAACAACAGAAATTTACTGTCACACAGTTCCAGAGGATGGAAGTACAAAATTCAGGTGTCAGCAGGCTGGTTCCTTCTGAGGCTGTGAGGGAGAATCTGTTCTAGACTTCTCCTCTGACTTCCGGTTGTTTGCTGGCCATCTTTGGGGTTCCTTGGTTTGTAGAAGCATCACCCCAATCTCTGACCCAATCTTTATATGATGTTCTTCCTGTGTGTGTGTATGTGTGTGTGTGTCTGTTTCCAATTTTCCCCTTTTCATATTGGAGTAGGACCCACCCTAGTCCACATTGACCTCATCTTAACTAATTATATTGGCCATGACCCTATTTCCAAATAAAGTCCTATCCTGGGGTACTGGGAGTTAGGAATGCAACATATGAATTTTTAGAGGACCCAATTCAAAACATAACAAAGTCCAGGTGAAAAACACCACTAAAAAAACACCACAGTCACTTGATACTGAGTTGGATTTCTACGTCAGTCAGAATTATTTGTTGCAAACAATAGAATCCACTCATGCCAATTTATGCTGGGAAGGAATTTATTAAAGGATGTTTGCTAACTCCAGAGGGGCTGCTGGGTCAGGAAGGACACCCACATTGCACTGTGGTCCTGCCGTAGTGCCTACGGCTAGGCACAGACACATAGTTCCCAGGGCATCATTTGCTGCTGGGTGTAGGATCTGGGCCACTGCCACCCAGCACAGTCAGGGGATGGGCGCCGTGCAGGGCCTGCTGCCTTGCATGACTTCCTTCATAACAGAATCTCGCACAAGTGTGTCTTATACTCTCTTAGTGGGATACTCTGGCAAAACTATATTGAAATGGAAAATGTACATACCCTTTGACTCAGCAATTGCTCTCGTAAGAATTTTGTCAGTGCCCAGAGATATATTTATGAATATGCTTAGAGTGTGGCTTATGTAAACCAAAACACCTCAATATCCATCAGTGGTAGACGGTTAAATAAACCATGATAAAAGTATGCCCAGGAGTGAGGCTATATCAAATGTAATGATATAAATCAGTGGTTCTGAGCTCGGTCATACCCTCTGACCCCTTTTTATAATAAATGTTTATAATGCTCCCTTTACTATCCTGAAACAAAATTCATAGATAATATAACCTACACACGCTTCTTTAAAAATCAATATAATGACACAATGAATCACACACATAAGTTTAAAAGATCAATATATTGCCTTCACTGTAACAGAAAAGAGAAATGGGAGGAGGGGAACTGACAATGAAATGTTTCAATATATAAATGTACAATAGGAGCACACTAGGAGACATACGGAAGTCAAGGTTGGCCCCTATGCGTGGACTCACCATGAACGTCCCAGGCACAAATGTAGACCCTTTAGCTGTGTGCATGGGGAACTCCAATCTCATTAGTTGCTTTGCTATTGATGATGGGATTATCCAAAATGGACAAAGCAAGGTACAACCCTCCCTAGATATCCTTCTACATTTCCGGAATATGTAATGTATGTTAAAACACTGCAAAAAGTATTTGTGTCTAAATTAAAATGAACTTTGGATCTTAGCTCAAATTA